GTTAGTTAGTTAGTTAGTTAGTTAGTTAGTTAGTTAGTAGTTAGTTAGTTAGTTAGTTAGTTAGTTAGTAGTTAGTTAGTTAGTTAGTTAGTTAGTTAGTTAGTTAGTTAGTTAGTTAGTTAGTTAGTTAGTTAGTTAGTAGTTAGTTAGTTAGTAGTTAGTTAGTTAGTTAGTTAGTTAGTTAGTTAGTTAGTAGTTAGTTAGTTAGTTAGTTAGTTAGTTAGTTAGTTCGTAGTTAGTTAGTTAGTTAGTTAGTTAGTTAGTTAGTTAGTTAGTTAGTTAGTTAGTTAGTTAGTTAGTAGTTAGTTAGGTAGTTAGTTAGTTAGTTAGTTAGTTAGATTAGTAGTTAGTTAGTTAGTTAGTTAGTTAGTTAGTTAGTTAGTTAGTTAGTTAGTTAGTTAGTTAGTTAGTAGTTAGTTAGTTAGTTAGTTAGTTAGTTAGTAGTTAGTTAGTTAGTAGTTAGTTAGTTAGTTAGTTAGTTAGTTAGTTAGTAGTTAGTTAGTTAGTTAGTTAGTTAGTTAGTTAGTTAGTTAGTTAGTTAGTTAGTTAGTTAGTTAGTTAGTTAGTTAGTTAGTTAGTAGTTAGTTAGTTAGTTAGTTAGTTAAGTTAGTTAGTTAGTTAGTTAGTTAGTTAGTTAGTAGTTAGTTAGTTAGTTAGTTAGTTAGTAGTTAGTTAGTTAGTTAGTTAGTTAGTTAGTTAGTTAGTTAGTTAGTTAGTAGTTAGTTAGTTAGTTAGTAGTAGTTAGTTAGTAGTTAGGTTAGTTAGTTAGTTAGTTAGTTAGTTAGTTAGTTAGTTAGGTTAGTTAGTTAGTTAGTTAGTTAGTTAGTTAGTAGTTAGTTAGTTAGTTAGTTATTTATTAGTTAGTTAGTTAGTTAGTTAGTTAGTTAGTTAGTTAGTTAGTTAGTTAGTTAGTTAGTTAGTTAGTTAGTTAGTTAGTTAGTTAGTTAGTTAGTTAGTTAGTTAGTTAGTTAGTTAGTTAGTTAGTTAGTTAGTTAGTTAGTTAGTTAGTTAGTTAGTTAGTTAGTTAGTTAGTTAGTTAGTTAGTTAGGTTAGTTAGTTAGTTAGTTAGTTAGTTAGTTAGTTAGTTAGTTAGTTAGTTAGTTAATCAGTTTAATTTCAGATTTTACTAGAATTGGGGGAAGCGTCTTCATGTCTGCCATTTGTTATATTTGTTATGCCTAAAAAAGCTTTCAACTTTTTTTGCCTTTCAATAAAAAACCAAGTAATTTCTAAAATTCTTTACCTTAATTGGTCAATAAATTCTAAAATTCATAATTAATTTTTATCAATAAAGAAAAAACAAAAAACACTTGAAATTTCATAAATATTTCATTTATTGTTTTTATTTTTTTCTCTCTCTCTATTTTATGGCTAAATTTGGCTCGGGCCTTTTTAACCAACTAATAAAATGTTAAAAATTTGTAAAAACAACAAATAAAATTGAAAACAATTTTACACGATAAAAAATATGTATTTAATAATAAAGTAAATCTTAAATAAATATGATCAACACATCCATACACCATTGCCAAAAGTATTTAAGAACTATTTTATTATATTTCAGAAATTCACAATTTTCCAATTAGATTTTCCCCCATATATATTTACATATAAAAATTTTTCTGAATTTTAAGATATAACTAGAAATTTTTTATGTACATACTTATGGAAATGGTGTAGCATGCTTGCACTATAAATATAGTTTTTTAATAATAATTATTTGTTAAACATTAACAAAATGTTTCTGCTGTTGTTATTGTTGTTGTTAACACTAGAGACAAGTAATGAAAACCGCAACAAACTATGGCTTTTTAGTTAAGTGTTACAATTGTTAAAATATTTGTTATTGTAAATTTATTATTATTGTTGTTTGTGATTATTAACACAGCTTGTTTTAAAAAAATACACCTTATTTATTTGGTTTTGTATTTTTTACATTTATGGAATTTATTATTGCCACCATTACTTTAATACACTCCTGTCCACATTTAGTTAATCCAATTAAACATTTTTGCCATTTTTTTGTTTTCATACATACATATGTATGTATGTACATTTGTATGTATATAACTGTGTATGTATTTCTTCTCATTTTATCTTGACAAGAAAACCCAAAACGTGACTTAAATTTTAAATTGTTTTTAATATTTAATTGTAATGTATAGTGATTTGTTTTAAACTTTACTTTATAAATTCGATGTGTTAACAGGGAATTGAAATGCTGCGAAAGGTGACAGTTTTGGGTCAGAAAAGAATCAGAAATAAAAAATGTGGAATAATTAAAAGTTATATTTCAAAGATTTTAAAAGATTTGTTTTTTTTCCAAATAAATATAAAGAAGAAAATTACATTGTGTACATAATGCTTAAATAGACAAGATTATAGTTTAGACTACAAAGACTAGACTATAGACTAGACTATAGACTAGACTATAGACTAGACTATAGACTAGACTATAGACTAGACTAATAGACTAGACTATAGACTAGACTATAGACTAGACTATAGAACTAGACTATAGACTAGACTATAGACGAGACTTATAGACTAGACTATAGACTAGACTATAGACTAGACTATAGACTAGACTATAGACTAGACTATAGACTAGACTATAGACTAGACTATAGACTAGACTATAGACTAGACTATAGACTAGACTATAGACTAGACTATAGACTAGACTATAGACTAGACTATAGACTAGACTATAGACTAGACTATAGACTAGACTATAGACTAGACTATAGACTAGACTATAGACTAGACTATAGACTAGACTATAGACTAGACTATAGACTAGACTATAGACTAGACTATAGACTAGACTATAGACTAGACTATAGACTAGACTATAGACTAGACTATAGACTAGACTATAGACGACTATAGACTAGACTATAGACTAGACTATAGACTAGACTATAGACTAGACTATAGACTAGACTATAGACTAGACTATAGACTAGACTATAGACTAGACTATAGACTAGACTATAGACTAGGCTATAGACTAGACTATAGACTAGACTATAGACTAGACCATAGACTAGGACTATAGGATAGGACTATAGAATAGACTATAGGATAGACTAGAGACTAACTATAGACTAGACTATAGATCAGACTATAGACTAGACTATAGACTAGACTATAGAATAGACTATAGGATAGAATATTTAGACTAGACCTATAGACTAGGCCTATAGACTAGACTATAGACTAGCTATAGACTAGTACTATAGACTAGGACTATAGGACTAGACTATAGACTATACTATAGACTAGATATAGACTGGACTATAGACTAGACATAGACTAGTAATATAGACTAGACTATAGACTAGACTATAGACTAGACTATAGATAGGATATAGACTAGACTAGAGACTAGACTATAGACTCGGACTATAGACTAGACTATAGACAGACTATAGACAGACTATAGACTAGACTATAGATAGACTATAGACTAGCTATAGACTAGACTATAGCACTAGACTATAGACTAGACTATAGACTAGACTATAGAAGACCTCGACTAGACTATAGACTAGACTATAGACTAGGACTATAGACTAGACTATAGACAACTAAGATGACTAAGACTAGACTATAGACTAGACTAGACTAATGACTAGACTATGGACTAGACTATAGAAGACTAGACTAGACTAGACTAGACTATAGAAGACTAGACTATAAGACTAGACTATAGGAACAGACTATAGACTAGACTATAGACTAGACTATAGACTAGACTATAGACTAGACTATAGACTAGACTATAGACTAGACTATAGACTAGACTATAGACTAGACTATAGACTAGACTATAGTCCCAATTTAAATATTTTAAATTCAATTTTAGTAACGGGCATTTTTTTTACAAATTCAAGAAAAATATATCTTCTTCTCACACTTTTAACCATAATTTCTGGCAAAAATAAATCTATGAATAAAATTCTCTCAAATCCTTGATTGATGAATGACTTTCTGTTATAAATATAGAAAAATGAAATAAAACTGTCAACTGTTGTAATAAGGGAAAAAAAAAAAACAAGAAACATAACTAAAACTTAATGGATATTTGGTTACAAGTTGCTAAAAAGAATAAGAATTTAATCCCAATATTGTGCACATGTATAGAATATGGAATTATATATGTAAACATTTGTATTTAAGAATAAACTAACACACATACATATACATTTAAGCAATGATAACATATAAGTACGACAAGCATTGGAGCAATAATGTTGGCGGGAGTATAAAGGACATATAATATAAATAGATTTTGTGTAGAAAAACAGTAACGAGTGCGAGTATAATCAATAAAATAAATTGAAATATAGAAAGGACTATTGCAGTAATAAGATGAAAATCTTAACAATATGTCAACAAGCGAAAAAAGAAATAGCAAAGTTAGAATGTTTTTTTTTTCTCCAAATAAAAGACGAATTTTAAATGCCCTTTGCACAGTGGGTAATGTTAATCATATTCAACTACTTAAGTACTTAGAAGTTACAGATCAATATTACTCTCTTAACTAACACACTGTGCTCGCCTTCAGATCTTCTTAATATTTTTAGCTTATAGCCTCAAATACTCTTATATATTTAGTGGATGTTTAGCGAAATGCTAGAGAATTATTCCTTTCATCAGAAAGTAAACTATTTCAAAACATGCTATAACTGCCCCCTAAGGTAGGGTGTTCACTAACGAAAGCAAACAAACAAGTTAACTAAACACAAACAAAATCCATTGAACATTTATTAAATAAACAATAAAAAAGGATTTAAAAGGACGAGACAGGATATTAAGATAACAAACAGTTGACAAACAAATAATATTAAGAGATGAGTAAAGAATGATTGATAACTTAACAGTAATCTCAATTGAAATATAGTTTTTATAGGAAAATTATACATAATTGATTGTTTTTTTTTGCACAAATAACTTAATTTTGTTTAATTCTTTTTATCTTACCCCTCTTACAGGCCTTATGTGGTGTGGTGTTTCAAGTTCCTACCATGTCCGGCGATAAATTGCGCATCAGTACTATGCAAGAGATCATCAAACCGAATACGGTGAAACGTATACAAGGCTATGGTTTACCTTTTCCTAAGGATACCTCACGCAAAGGTGATCTATTGGTAGCTTTCGATATACAATTTCCCGAGAAATTAACAGCCGCTCAAAAGGAACTACTCAGGGACATGTTATGATGTGTTTCCTCTTTTTAGACAAAAACCACAACAACAACATCTACAACCATAAACACAAAAACCTTAATAAATTCAATTAAATATTTGGCCTAAAACTAAATTTATTTTAAATTCTAAAATTTAATTTTCTAAAATTTTGTTAAATTAAAACAAACTCTATAAGCACAAATAATTTGTCATTATTTTTCTTTTTTAATAATAATTTTAAAGAAATTTTATATAATTTTTTGTTAAAAATTATATAAAAATAATAAAATTTCTTGCGGTTTTTACCCCTTAAGTTTGCCTCAAATTTATTATTATTATTATTTGTCTAAACAAAATGCTCACTAACAAAATGTCCTTAATTTTTAAAATAAATATTTCTGTTTTTTTGTAAATTTATTATTGACTCTCTAAATAAATAAATAGTTTTTTATTAAAAATAAAAATGTCTGTTACAAAATGTCATCCTTATTGTTTGGTTACTTAAAAACAAAAATCCATTTTTGTTGAAAAATTTATTAAACTTGTGTCTTCTTTTTATCTACCACAAATTGTACTACTAATTTATTATTTAAATTTATAAGTTTAAACCATCTATTGAAAAACAACCAACAAAATAAATAATAAAACCTTAATGATCTGTTTTTTTGGTCTTAAAAAAAACTTTAATAAAACACAAATATTGAAGTTTCTTTATTTTCATAAATTTTGTTTTAAATTCTTATATCGGTGTAAATTTATTTAAATAATTGCTTGTACAGAAGATTTATTTCTCTTAATTTTACTTTTCTACCAATTAAAAAGTTTAATAATAAATATAATTATTGGAAATTAAACAAAAAATGAAGACAAAAAATAGTTAACTTGTAGTTTCACTTCAAAATGGAGGGGATGAATATTGAACATTTAATTGAAACAAAAAAACTTTAACCCTTGTATCTCCTCTGTCAAATTTTGTATATGTATTTGGAAATTTTTATTTATATACAAAGCTCTAGTCCAGTTTTAGTTAAGTTCTTGTTTAGTCTAGTTCAGTTCTAGTTCAGTTCTAGTTCAGTTCTAGTTCAGTTCTAGTTCAGTTCTAGTTCAGTTCTAGTTCAGTTCTAGTTCAGTTCTAGTTCAGTTCTAGTTCAGTTCTAGTTCAGTTCTAGTTCAGTTCTAGTTCAGTTCTAGTTTCAGTTCTAGTTCAGTTTAGTTCAGTTCATAGTTCAGTTCTAGTTCAGTTCTAGTTCGGTTCTAGTCAGTTCTAGTTCAGTTCTAGTTCAGTTCTAGTTCAGTTTCTAGTTCAGTTCTAGTCAGTTCTAGTTCATTTCTAGTTCAGTTCTAGTTCAGTTCTAGTTCAGTTCTAGTTCAGTTCTAGCTTCAGTTCTAGTTCAGTTCTAGTTCAGTTATAGTTCAGTTCTAGTTCAGTTCTAGTTCATTCTAGTTCAGTTCTAGTTCAGTTCTAGTTCAGTTCTAGTTCAGTTCTAGTTCAGTTCTAGTTCAGTTCTAGTTCAGTTCTAGTTCAGTTCTAGTTCAGTTCTAGTTCAGTTCTAGTTCAGTTCTAGTTCAGTTCTAGTTCAGTTCTAGTTCAGTTCTAGTTCAGTTCTAGTTCAGTTCTAGTTCAGTTCTAGTTCAGTTCTAGTTCAGTTCTAGTTCAGTTCTAGTTCAGTTCTAGTTCAGTTCTAGTTCAGTTCTAGTTCAGTTCTAGTTCAGTTCTAGTTCAGTTCTAGTTCAGTTCTAGTTCAGTTCTAGTTCAGTTCTAGTTCAGTTCTAGTTCAGTTCTAGTTCAGTTCTAGTTCAGTTCTAGTTCAGTTCTAGTTCAGTTCTAGTTCAGTTCTAGTTCAGTTCTAGTTCAGTTCTAGTTCAGTTTGTTCAGTTCTAGTTCAGTTCTAGTTCAGTTCTAGTTCAGTTCTAGTTCAGTTCTAGTTCAGTTCTAGTTCAGTTCTAGTTCAGTTCTAGTTCAGTTCTAGTTCAGTTCTAGTTCAGTTCTAGTTCAGTTCTAGTTCAGTTCTAGTTCAGTTCTAGTTCAGTTCTAGTTCAGTTCTAGTTCAGTTCTAGTTCAGTTCTAGTTCAGTTCTAGTTCAGTTCTAGTTCAGTTCTAGTTCAGTTCTAGTTCAGTTCTAGTTCAGTTCTAGTTCAGTTCTAGTTCAGTTCAGTTCTAGTTCAGTTCTAGTTCAGTTCTAGTTCAGTTCTAGTTCTCGTTCATTCTAGTTCAGTTCTAGTTCAGTTCTAGTTCAGTTCTAGTTCAGTTCTAGTCAGTTCTAGTTCAGTTCTAGTTTAGTTCAGTTCTAGTTCAGTTCTAGTCAGTTCTAGTTCAGTTCTAGTTCAGTTCTAGTTCAGTTCTAGTTCAGTTCTAGTTCAGTTCTAGTTCAGTTCTAGTTCAGTTCTAGTTCAGTTCTAGTTCAGTTCTAGTTCAGTTCTAGTTCTAGTTCAGTTCTAGTTCAGTTCTAGTTCAGTTCTAGTTCAGTTCTAGTTCAGTTCTAGTTCTAGTTCAGTTCTAGTTCAGTTCTTTTTCAGTTCTTTTTCAGTTCTAGTTCAGTTCACTGCAAAAATCTGTCATATTTCAAATCGTTTATTATTGGATCTCTTATTGGTAATTTTTTTGTATTAAAAAAAAATTGAATCCATTGTCAAATGTTATCCTAATCTAACTA